CATGCAGAATTACTCAGCTACAGATGCCTATATATATATGTTAGATATGTCTATTGTCCTTTTATCACGGGCAACAGTAATCCTCACACATCTTTTCTCATAGGACACAACTTAATTTCATATGGTTCATAATTATTGCTTTAGTCATCATTGTTTCCTAAGCTCTGACATGTTTATATATTAAACATTTATGACAATTTAAGGAGAGTATCCTTCAACTTATGAAACAGATAAATTCCTTAAAGTTTTACCTAGAGAGAACTGTACCATCACTATGACAGTTGACCCTTGAACAAAGCTGTGGTTAGGGATGTGAGTATCCTGCACAGTCAAAAATTAGCATAACTTTTGACTTCCCAAAAACTTGACTAATAGCCTACTGTTGATGGAAAGCCTTACCAATAACACAATCAACAATTATTTTGTATATTATATACTGTATTCATACAACTAAGTAAGCTAGGGAAAAGAAAATGTTATTTAAAAAACCATAAGAAGAAAATACATTTATAGTACTATACTGTATTTACTGAAAAGAATTATCTTATAAATGGACCCATGTGGCTCAAATCCATGTTGTTCAAGGATTCAACTGTAAGATGAGAAGAAATCACAAAACTAGATTATGCACCCCCAAACACCCACTAATCAACAAGCCAAACTGAAAATGAAGACGTAACTCCATGCTACTCTGAACACTGCCATACTCCCAAAACAACCATCCCTCATTTAGCAGTTAGTATCTTCTGTGCAAGGCATTGTGCCAGCCTAAGCTCCACAGAATGGGCTCCATTAGCCAAATTCAAGTATTCAGCCACTACAATCTGATGAAGTTCATCATTTTCCCAACACATGTGGGGGGTGCGGGGATTAAACGAATTTTCTCAATTTTATTTTCGACTTTTCTAAAAATATTTTTTTCAAGATTTATTTATTTGAGAGAGAGAGTAAGAGTGTGCATGCAGGAGCAGGGGGAAGGGCAGAGGAAGAGAATCTCAAGCAGACTCCCTGCTGACCACAGAGCCTGATGTGGGGCTCAATTCCACAACCTACGAGATCATGACCTGAGCCGAAACCAAGAGCTAGACACTTTAACCAACTGAGCCACCCAGGCACCCCAGAGTTTTCTTAATTTTAAAACATTATTCTAATTTTTTTTTTCAAACTCTACAGTATTCCTCTACCTATTCAACTAGAATCCACTGTGAGGTACATCTGATTTAGCATATAACTACACACCTAGCTACTCTGTTTTGGTTCTCAGTGGTATTCTGCAAAGAACACCTGAATTTTTACAGAAATTTGAAATCCACAAGTTAAGAGATGAGGAGTCACTTATAAGCCAAAACAGATCAAGTATCTCAGTGACTTAACTATTGAGAAAGGATACAAACATTTAAAAATAAATGTAAAATAAGAAAAATATAAATGATAAAACAAAAAACAAGTTCTATAGGCAATCTGTGTAAGGAGTGTGATCATGAGAGAAATGAAACAGTAGTAGCAAGGAAGAAGGTGACTCAAAAGAAGGAGGCTCTAAGCCAGGCTTCAACAAGGCAGACAGGCAGCCTGGAGCCAGTTCCAAACGGTGCTATGATGCTACGCCTGCAAATCTGTGAGTTTTATCTGGCAAGCATAAGGGTAGCTAGAAAAACAGGTGTCACAAGAGAACTTTAAAGAACTCAGGTAACATATAAACTCCCAATTTTATGGTGACTTTGTAATTCAGTCTAAATGTATTGTCAAACAACATGAAAATCTCAATAAAATAGGAAACAATCAACAAGTTCTCTAATCAATGATAGTAAACAAATAAAGTCCAGGTTCTTGTCAGGAACTAGAAATGAAACTTCTCTTGTTCAAACCTTTTTAAAAACTTCGTTACAAAAATAACATGCATAGAGGCTTTTCTATGTGTGGTTCCAAAGGCCATGTAATGTATTTATTCCTTTAGACATTTCTAAATTATATTCTTAGATCAGGCTAGATCAAACCACTGCTGATTCATCGCACTCCTAAACTTGTCTCATAAAATTGCTTTTTTGTATCATATCATTTGCTTACGCTAGGGAATATAATAAGAAAAATCATAAAAAGCTCATTGTTATGGCTGCTGGAAGAATGCTACCCAAACGCTATCCCTCTTTAAGTATATCAGGTCTCAAGAACATGAAGAGCAAAGTTTGTATCCAATGGACACTGAATCCTGTAAATGATTCATTATCTTCCTTTGTTTTGGCCATGAAGATGCTCAGAGCAATATTTCCAAGTCCTTTTCCAACAAATGAATGTGGACTGTGTAGTCTCAATCTCCAGAAGGAAATGTTACTTCAGTTTATTATTCTCCTATCTCTATCTCTACTTTCATTTGATTCTCTTTCCTGTGCTCTTTTTTTTTTTTTTTTTAAATTGCCTTACATCCTTTGTGGAATAAGACGGGGTATAAAGAAATAATACATAATCTAGAATTAAAACCAATTAAACAGAATTGGAAGGGTGTTAAAATCTTACATGATACTCTTAAGAAAATAAGAGAGAGGAAGAAAAATATTTGCAAAAAAATTTGTTCTTTCAAGTCCAGAATATCTGTCAGAATTAATATATGTTTAAACAATCTTCTGTAATGTTGACATAAAGGTCTACAGTACCATACAATAGCAACTGATACTCAGAATAATGACCAAGGGTTCTAAAAGCACCTATTAAATGGAATCTTAAAATTTACAAGTTTTTCTCCATAAAACAGAAGTAGGTTAGACATTATTTTAGATATATTTTAACCATCATCACCCCTACATTGCCCAGTTAAACCCTTTAAAAGCCCAGTTTAAGATAAAAGCTCATTATCTTACCATTACCTAGCTGATCTAAGTAATTATGGACATTTCTCTAAGGTTCTATTTGGGCCTCTCAGAAACTCAGTGGGCATTTCTACTCTCACAGTTTCAACTTCTATGTGAATGATTCCAAAATCTCTAACCCAGCTCAACTGGGCTGCCTAGTCACAAGCTCAAGTAAAACACTCAAAATAGTGCTTAGTTATCTATCTCTTCTTCCTCACTCCCATAAGCAACCCTTCCCAAAAAGCTCATTCTGTCCAATTCCAAGGCTTCAGTCATCTTTGGTATTCCATCTCTTCATCTCTGGCATTCCATCTTACCAGGCTTACCCACTCCTTCTTTTCAAGTGTCTTTGTGACCGGCATTTTCTTTTGCATCTTATTAGGTCAGGCCCTAATTATAAGTTAATCTCTCTCAGACTTTCCATTTCATCTTACATTTCACTGCCTCACCATTGTTTTTTAGCAAGTCACTTCTCTCAAACCTGCAGTAACAGCTTCTTATAACCTATTACATCATAGTGACATGCCTAAGTCTGAACTTGCAGAGAAACCCAGGATCAGGCCCCACATTATTTATCTCACATTTCCATAACTATCCCTAAATCACCATTCACTATGCCAGGCCAAACAAGTGAATACACCCCCAAGGCCAAGTCATCTTAAATAATTCTGCCTCTCCTCTCTACAATTGGAATGCTCTCTTCTCTGTCTTAGCCAAATCTTACGAATTCTTCAGGACATGGCTCATGTGTCATCCCAATAACGAAGCCCTTCTCCTAATTATATCCCTTCTGAATCTTGTCCTCATCTGATATCCTTCTATATGCAAAATCTATGTCAAACTGCTCAAAAGTTAATTGTCTTCTTTTATGCATATGCTCTCCGGGGGCGGGGGGGGTGTCTTATCTTTTCCCATAGTTTTAATTATAAACTACAAAGCTGACCCCCAAATCTATATCTCAGTATTGGTCCTTTTCCACTAGGCTCCAGACTTACACATCCAGCTGCCCACCTGACAGTGCCTCCTAAATGTCTAATGGGCATCTCAGACTTAACATGTTCAAACAGAACTCTTCATTTTTATCAATGAAACACACATCTCCAACCTTACTCATTTCAACCCCATTAGCCAAGTAATTATGGACATTCTCTAGGCCAAAAATCTAGAGGTAACTCGATTATTCTCTTTCCCTCACATGCCACTACTATCCATTAAGAAGAGTTGTTGGTGTTATTCCCCAAATCCAAACACCCCTCATCATTCTCACTTTCATTCAAGTTCTAAGCATCACCTCTACCTGAACTTCTTTAAGAGTCTACTAAATGATCTCTCTGCTTTTACTCTTTCCCATTGGGCCCATTCTCCACACAGCAGCCAGGATGATCTGCTCAAAGCCAAAATCACACTACATAACTCTCCAGCTTAAAACTCTCCAATGGTTTCCTATACATTAGACTCAATCCAAACTCTGTATCACAGCCTAGAAAGCTCTACATAACCTGTCCCATTCTTAGCTTTCTGACCTCACCTTCTGCCACTCTATTAATCATCCAAAATGCTCCAGCATCTCTGGTTTTCTTTCCATCCCTTAATCAGTGTCAAAGGTCTTCTGCACTGGCTGTTACTCTGCCTTGCTCTTCATCCACAGCATCCTTCATCTGACTATCTTTCCCCCCATCTTTTAGGGTCTCTGCTCAAATATCACCCTTGCAGAGAGTCCCTGAACTATGATAAAGTCACTCTATCCCATCACCCAGTGTTACTTTATATACAATAAATAGAGATGTGCTAGCCTCTCTCACTATATGTAAACTTAAATTCTTTGAGGGCAGGTATCATGTACAATTTTTATATTTCCCAAGACAGTTTGCCTGGGTATGTAAGAACACCAATAACTACCTAGTGACCAACTTAAAAGATAAAATACCTGTGATCTCCAAAACTATAAAAATTTCTAAAGCAGATATAGACACAGAGAAACTGCAAAAAGGGTAATGACAGGATGACTACTGTTTAGTTTAAGTTCAGAACCACATGAGTCTTGACTTGAACACTTTTCTAAACTAAGCAATCACTACGTTTTACAGCAACCACTTAAATTCATGCAACTGGCAACCACTACGCAAATGATTCTAATGGAGCAAAACGAAGTCTTACTTAATGTTATAATGTCCAGTTTTCAGTGTACATCTATCAGGAAGCTGAGCAAGTTTCTTCGAGAGCATTTTAAAATACTTTCTGCACTCCTGCACGCCTGTGCCTTGTTCATAGTCAGTAGAAGCAGAAAGTGGCAGCCCATCTCTGACACGAATGACTGATGCAGATAAAATCATGGACATTTCAACCAGAAGAGGAGACCTAAAACAAAACAAATAATTGGGTTAGATAAAAAAAATGAAAGCCCAACCTGATAAATGGTGCAAAAATGTTCAACTCACTAATAATCAAAGATTCACTAATTAAAACAATGACATACTACACTTTGCTTAACAAATTGGCCTTTAAAAAATAATAACTGTTGGGGCACCTGGGTGGCTCAGTCGGTTGAGTTACCTGCTCTTGATTTCAACTTAGGTCATGATCTTAGGGTCCTGATATCCAGCCCCACGTCAGCCTCTGCATTCAGGGTGGGGTCTGCTTGTCCCTTTCCTTCCCCCTCTGCCTCTCTTCCAGTATGCCCACACCTCTCTCCCTCTAAAGTAAATAAATATTTTTTAAAAAACTTTTAAAAATAATACTTGCTTTTTTCTGGCATTTTTGTAAGTATTTGCAGAAGTAAATATTATAATAAACACCATTCTCAAAATAATTTGGCAATATTCAACAGAGTTTAAAAATATTGATGCCCTTCAACCACAATAGCAATATAAATATATAACCCTACCCTAAGGGAAGTAATCAGATTCAGACAAAATGTTAAACAGAAAGGCATTCTTTCACAGAAATATCCAAAAATGATCTAGACATCCAACAACAGGAGAATGGTTAAATAAATTATAGTACACTATGATAGAATATAATGAAGAACAGTTATGTTTATGAAAAAGAGTTCAATAATGTAGTAAAATGCTTACAAATAAATCAGAAAAAAAAGCAGGATAAAAACTGCAAATGCTTACTATAAAGCCAAAGAGAAGAAGGGGGAGATAAATGGAGAAATAGATATCAGAAGGAAATATGCCAAAATTATAATAATGCTTATCTCCAGAAAATAGTATTGGGGTGATTATTATTTTTTAATTTCCTATTTTCATAATATTCTACAGTGGGCATATATTACTTTTGTAAACAGAAAAAAAATTTTATTGGGGTGCCCATGCCGCTCAGTTAGTTGGGGCTCCAACTCTTGATTTTCACTCAGGTCATGATCTCAGGGTTTTGAAATTGAGCCCTGTGTCAGGCTCCCCACCGAGCAGGGAGGAGGCTGCTTGGGATTCTCTCTCTACCCCTCTCCCCACTGATGCACCCTCTCTAAAATAAATAAATACATCTTCAAAAAAACAAAAAAATTTACTTTTAGTAAGTCTTTATTTATTTGACAGAGATCACAAGTAGGCAGAGAAGCAGGCAGAGAGAGAGGAGGAAGCAGGCTCCCCGCTGAGCAGAGAGCCCGATGCGGGGCTCGATCCCAGGACCCTGAGATCATGACCTGAGCTGAAGGCAGAGGCTTTAACCCACTGAGCCACCCAGGCGCCCCTACTTTTAATAAGTCTTAAAGCTAAAGGAATACTGGTTTTAGTACTGTTCCCAATTTCTTTACCAGAAAATAAACCATAATGCTTCTTTTATTATATTCTGATCAAGCTTCACAAAAATAGATAAAAGGACTTCATAGGCTGGGTCTGAAAGAAATCAGGTAATCAGAAACTTTGCTAAAAACTATACAATGTTGCTCAAATTTTAGCTTGTATAAAAACCATTGGAAGTTTGGTTAGAAATGCAGATTTCTGAACCTCCCCCTCCCCCAAATTCTGATCCACTGACTAGGAGGTAGAGCTTGAGATGCTTCCATTTTTAACAAATTCCCAGTAATTACTATGCATAGTGTCTACAGACACTTTGAAAAACACTAACTTAAAACATGTTCATAGTCTGAAATTAAGTGAGAACTCTTTCTTGGCCAGGTCTTAGAGAAGAATGTCACTAAATACTGCCTCACTAGCAGTAGGGAAAATGGTGAAAATTGAAAATTTTGAAAACAATTTCATAGGCTTTTTTCAAGATATTGTATCTCAAAGACTAAATCTTCACCTTTCCTGTTCAGATAGCTCAATAGTATCACATTCCAAATGTGAAAAACTGAGTTTATTATATATCAAAAAATGCCAAAGAAAACCAACTGGGTACCAACTTTGGAAATTAGTACTATAGTTTGTTGTTTTCATTGCCGTGTAAAGTTGCAATCTGACTGTCTACTCATGATGGTAACTGACATGAAAAATTAACCCAAACAACAAAGTTAATGCATTAAATATACTCTCCCTTTTCCTTTTTTCATGAGGAAATTAAAGGAATAGTTAGGTATTAACAGGTCAATACTATTTTTCTCCTCTGTTCATTTAAAAAAGGAAAAAAAACAACAGGAATTAAATTATTCTTTACCATAATGGGATCTTCTAAAGAAAACCAACATGACATATTCAAATCACTTTTTTTTTCTATTCAATCAGTTTCTTTTCTCTTCCAAAAGCAATAGCAAGAGAAAGCCGGGAATCTTCAAGGGACAATATCCAAACAACAAACCCCTTTTAAAAACTATTACTATGTTTTATTTAATTATTAAACCATAATTATGAGATTTAGCTGAAGTATAAGAAAGTAGGAAGATGTCTTTGAACCCTTAGGCATTCATTATTTAAATATAAAATTTTTTCTTCCTCAAGTTTACTGCAACACAATGAGTACTTTGGGAATTACCATGAGGGCAGAGTTGTGACTTACAGTTTCCAAGCACCCACATTCTTAGTATTTAGAAGTAGGCTGCATTCTTTCATGCCTGATCTTTCTAGGGTAGCAACAGAAATATTAGGAATAATCTTTATTACAGAGTGCCAATTTTCATGTAATCTTTAGTTACTCTTTTTTTATGAATTAAAAACTGAAAAATATGATTCATATTTCCTATAACATATACGGAGAAACAAATCCCAAACTGTAAATTCCATTCATTTAACAAACATTTACTGAGTAGGTACTATATGCCAGGGACTATGGGAGACATCAGGATTACACAGTTCCTACCCTCCAGAACCATCAATCCAGAATTAAAGAAATTCAGATGAAAAGAGCAAACACAAGTTGTGTCACCCACCACTTAACTGGAAAACTATAGTTAGACAAACTCGCACTTCAGATATTCCTAATACATTTAGGCTTGTAACCAAAAGCACAACAAAGCACTGACAGTCCCTGTCAAGATTCTTAAAAAGTTGTCAGAAAATCGCCTCTGTCAGTAGATAAAACTCCTCTGAGAAAAAGTTAAATTTCCTCCTCCCAGAGTCATTGGACCTAATATCCAAACCAGTGAGCTAGCAAACAAAACTGTCATGACTGCCCAGTGAACACTGCCAGGCTTGACTAAGTTGTAGATGGACTTGAGTCACTTTAGGACAAGCAATCTCTCCTCTGCCAACTACTACCACCCCTCTTTTCTGTTTCTACCTTGGATTCTTAATGCAGTTTCTTAAACACACACACACACACACACACACACACACACTCTCTCTCTCTCTCTCTCACTCCAATATCATCTGAACTATGCCAGTAGAAAAAGGCATCTGTCCCCATAAAGGCCAAGCTAGGGTTAGAATACCCTTAGAGTCTAGGCACAGTGGTGGTTGGGAAAACCAAGAAAGACCCGATGGGAACTGAGGAAATCAAGAGGTTAACATTTGCATGGGAAGATTCAGGAGCAATAGTAGTTTTATCAGGGCCACAGATACATTTTTAGGCCATGATCCATTTTCCCTCACCTTTAACACTGGAAAAAAAAAAAAAATTATGTCCTTCAACAGCAGAAAACTCACAGGGAATCTGAGTACTGACCTGTATATCCTTTCCTCAATAGCAACTGCTAAAGGAAAAAGCCCAAATTAAAATCTGGGTAAGTCTGGGAAAACATTTATGTAGAGACTGAGGAAAATAAAATCCCACTATGCCAATGGTTTAGCAACTATTTAGTCCCAGGATAACGGGATGCTGACCTCTGCTTCATAACCTTTTGAGGTACTGATTGTGGGCCCCAGGAAGGCACTTTCTCAAAAAGTAATTAATAAAACCCAACACTTAAGTACACTTTATATCTACTTTCCAGCAAGATGTTTTCATAAAAGATAAAAACACTTCATATTGGGTTAACCACTCATATCTTATTTTAATTATTTCCCAAACTTAAATCATCCAAGTACCATTTTCAGAATTCTTTTTTTTTTTTAAATTTTATTTTAAACAAGCAAGGGGAGAGAGAGAGAGAATCTCAAGCAGACTCCATGCTGAGCTTAGAGACTGATGCAGGACTCAATCTCCTGACCCTGAGATCATAACCTGAGCCAAAATCAAGAGTCAGCTGATTAACCCAATTCAGCCACCCAGATGCCCCCATTTTCAGAAGTCTTACCATATCTACATCTCACCTGTACTATTATTTACCTAATATAGGTCTTTCAATTGACATTTTTTTTGCCCTATCCTTAGCAATAATATCTGTGAAATCAGTTTTTTTTTAAGATTTTTATTTATTTATTCATTTGAGAGAAAGCACATGAGCAAGAGAGAGAAGAAGCAGAGGGAGTGGCAGAGGGAGAGGGAGAAGGCGGTTCCCCCTGAGCAGGGAGCCTACACCGGGCTTAATCCCAGGACCCTGAGATCATGACCTGGGCAGAAGGCAGACGCTTAACTGACTGAGCCACCCAGGCGCCCCATGTGAAATCAGTTTTGATATGCTAGAAGTTTTTCTCCTAATTAGAGATTTTTTATGTTGTTGTTTCATCCAAATGTATGTGTGAAAATTATTTTTTAAAATGTTCACCTACATATCACTCAAATTATCTTGCATGGGAAACACTACAGTGGTGCACACTTGATTGAAAATGCTAGCTGAGATCTCTAGGAATTGGAAACGGAGGTTACGGGGGAGAAGGCTATATTAATTGTGATGTATAGGGTGGGAGCAAGGTTGAGAGAAAAAGGAAGGACTTTGCACAGCCATATGTTAACAGAAAGACACTTGAAAAACAGTTTAAGACACTTGAAAAACAGTTTGAAGAGGAAAAGGGGAAGGGTACCAAAGAAAATCAGAATTTATTTAGCAGCTTTGCCTATGCCCCCCACCTTACCAATAGCCTTCAATACTCCTATTACAAGTTGCTTGTACTACACAGTATGTGTAAGACCTCAGGCTCCGGAGTAATTATACACACAACTAGGAACAGGGCCCCCAACACATGCACAAATGTGTCAATCCCCAACGTTATGTAGCACCTCACAGTTTACAAACAGTGAGGTAGGTATTAACTCCATTTTAATGATGAGGAAATTGAAGGTCCTTTCCTCAATGTCATACTGCAAATACACAGCAGAACCAGTGCTTAAACCTAAGTTTCTTGTACCACATCACCGCTGTGCTAAAAGCAACAGTGAGTAAGAACCCAGTGATAGAGAAACTATCTATCTACTAATTTTGAAATAATAAAAGACCACCTTACATTTTAAGAGACAGTATAACAGTTAACAGGATGGACTCTGGAACAAATGCCTGTGTTCAAAAACTGGCTAACTGTAAACTTGAGCACCTGTAAATTGTGGTCACTAACAGTATGTATCTCATAGGATTGTTTTAACAATATTAATAGTGGGGCACCTGGGTGGCTCAGGGGGTTAAACCTCTGCCTTCAGCTCAGGTCATGATCTCAGGGTCCTGGGATGGAGTCCCACATCAGGCTCTCCGCTCAGCGGGGAGCCTGCTTCCACCTCTCTCTCTGCCTGCCTCTCTGCCTACTTGTGATCTCACTCTCTGGCAAATAAATAAGTAAAATCTTTAAAAATAAATAAGTAAATAAAAATACTGATAGTATCTACCTGATAGGGATACATAAAGAACCTGAAACATCACCTTGAAGACCAAAAATACAATATTGTTTATTATTATTATTATTATTATCATTAATTGGCTGCCTTCTATTTTCTAGGCACTTTATACATTACTTCATTTAAGCCTTCTGATAACCAGTGAGAGAGGTATTATCAGTTCTATTTTACCCTTGAGGACATTCAAGCTCAGAAAAGCAATTTATTCAATTTCTAAGTTCATAAGTGACAAGATTTAAATACAGGCCTAATTCTAACCACCCAATAAGACACTGCCTCACAACATTTCCAAGCCTCCTACTCAAGTATACAGAAAGTCACATGCACCCCTTTGATAAGACCTGTGCTTCTTTTAAACATAAGTATAAAATATAGATTTTTAAAAATCAGTTCATACACACACACAAAAAAAATCACTAAACTGATATCATGATTCTCAACATAGGAAATGCCCAGATGTCCCACTAATTTACCGCATGGTCACATGTAAAATTCAAATACTGAACTACCTTCAATAATGGAAAGTATAGGTACTATTTCAAGTACTGCCTAACTCCTTATAATGTCAACATGTGAGCAAGATCGGAGTTTAGAAAAATGACTGTTCCACCTGTTAGCTGGGATCACAACATCTCGCCTCTGGTGGCTGACACTCTAGCCCTGGACTTTGCCTTGGCTGTACACGCATCGGAGAGACTGGTTCTCAAGCTCTCCAACAGCCCCAGCGGACGATCCAGGAAACTAAGGTTGAGAAAAGTCCAAAGCTGCTTTCGCTGGCAGAGAGATTCAAGTCCGCTGGAGCTCGGCCTCCTATTCCGGAGCCCTCTTCCACCTGTCGAGCCAATTGCTCAGGTCTCCTTTAAGCCATATCGCTCTCAAAGTGTCATTAACAGGGCCTTAAAAGGTTTCTGATGGCGAACGCGGCCAAATCTCTGGGTTCAATGCCCATTAAATCCCCACAAAACGCAAAGTAAGCCACTAGTTCAAATCCCACCCTGCCTTTAAAAAAACAGTAGATGCCACGTCAAGCTCTCTGAATAGCCTAATACCTAATTCCTAATTCCACTTTAATAGCCTAGGTGGATTACCGTGTTTCTAACAACTGGGCTCCAGGGAATGCCCCCCGCTGCCGGCAGCCCACAGAGACTGCCCCTTCCCCGGACTCCTCTGCTTGGGCTGCCCCATACCCAAGACAGGTCAACCATGGAGCAACCGCCGCTCGCGCGCACTCACAGTACCCCTCCAGTCGAAGGGGACCAAACCCCGCAATCCCACCTCTCCAGAGCTCGGCGGCTCCAACCACCCGGCTCCCGCCCCCAGGGCACGCGCTGGGTTCCTCCTGCCCAGGGGGAGGTCTGCAGTCGCGAGGGCAAGGGCCGTGACGGCTGGTAGGGAGAGCGATGGGAACGCCTGCTAGGGGTCAGAACGACCCTAAGAAGGGAAGAATAAGAACTGCGAGACACCAGGTCGTACCTGTCGAGCCGGGACCCGCCGCTCCGAGTGACGCGACCCGCAGTGCATTGTGGGGCCAGGGAGTGGCCTTTCTGCGGGGCAGCCCCGCTTCCAACGTGGCTGGCGCCAGACAGGATCAAGCTCCGCCCCCGTCCCTCGGCTCTCCCGGACCAATCAAGTTCTGTGGGAAGGAAACGCTGACCCGCCCCCTCCTGGGGCCCGATGTAGTCCCGCCCCCATCCAAGAAAGATTGGCAGCTTTTCACGCACCTGCGCCGAGATGTTACCACGTCCTCTGGTGACAGTGACTGATAATGTTGTCTCTCACAAATAAAGCTAATCTCTCCTGCCTGTCGCCTCTCTCCAGAGGCACTTTGTCTCTCACGCGGCCCTACGGCAAACACTTATCCGACCGCAGGGGGAAAAGCCCCCTCTGAGTGAGCAAGAAAAGGACTTGCCCCAACTATCACCGCACAAAAGGAAGCACCTAACCTTGGCAGAGAAATGCCAGATGCAGACCCTGCGGGGGCCCTTTCCAACCTTTGCAGGGGTCGTGCATTGTTAAATAAGCACTTAATGACTGTTTACCACCATGACTTAATGACTGTTTACCACAGTAAACAGTGCCTAACACGGTGTTAGGCATTGAGTTACAGGAACGAACTTAACACTGGATGAAATCTAAAGGGCAATAAAAGCAAGAGACGGTAAAGCATAAATCATTACATAATTATCAATTGTCGTTAGTACTATGAAGGAAAATTAGTAGGTATGATGATGGATTAATTCTGGACTATCAGGGAAGATGTCTTTGAAGAAGTGCCTTTTAAATTCCAAGCATGTGAAAGAGCCTTAAAAAATGTTTCGAGCCAAGAGAACATTAAGTGTTGGATTGTTGGGGGCATGAAAGAACTTGGCGGGTTCTAGGAACTGAAAGGAAGTCAGTGTGGTTGAAATGTAGGGAGCAAGCCTGGGCAGAGATGACATAGAGGCCAGACCATGCAGGATCTTACTGGCCACATAATAGATTTCAGACTATATTTTGGAATGCATCCTAAGGTTAATGGGCAGCTAATAGAGAATGTTAAATAGAATCTGATTTACATATTTAAAAGCTCACTCGGGCTATTTGTGGGAAGTAGTTTGGAAGAGGGCAGGAAGGGTTGCTGAAAGGCCAGGCTGGAGGCAGTTACATTAGTCAAGGGCAGAGATGATGGTGGCTTGAACTGGGATAATGGTAGTAGAGATGGTGAGAGTTGGATAATTTCAGGACATGCATGAATGAGAGATGGAATCCAAGAGGCTTAATAATGTATTGGTTTTCTGGGAAGAGTTAAGAAAAGAGGAGCATTAAGAATGACTCCTTAAGTAACTAGATGGATTAAGAAGCCATTTACTGATTCAGGGAACATAAAAAGAGGAGCAAATGGTTTTGGATATGAGTTTGAGATGCTTACAAACAAAAGTGTCAAACAGTTTTGAACGTGTAAGTCTGAAGAGCAGAAGAAATGTCTGGACTAATTATATAAATTTGGTGGTAATTGAAGTGCGTTAACCCAGCAGTTCCATTCCTAGGCATATATGCAACAGAAATGTATTCATGTGTTCACCAAAAGACATATATAAGAATGTTAATAGGATGAATAAATTTTAGAATATTCACATAGTGGAATAGCATACAGGAAAGAGAATGAACAATTTACTGGTACACGCAAACACGGATGAATTTCACAGTTGTTAAACCGAGTGAACTAAGCCAGACACAAAAATTGTATATTGTATTATTTTGCTTTTATAATATTCAAAAATAGACAAAAATAATGCATGGTAATAGAAGTTGGGATATTGGCTATCCTTAAGCGGTAATAATGTTTAAAAAGGGCCACTAGGGGGCTCCTGGAGTTCTAATACTGTTGTTCGTGATCTGGGTGTTGATTACACCAATATATTCAATTAATGAAAATTCATAAAGCTGTACACTTAAGATTTATGCAATTTTCCAGTATGCATTTTATTGTTCAATAGAAAATTTAAATTTTTAAAATGTTATGCATGATCCAGCCATAAACAAGTTACTGGTACCAGACTAACCTTCCTATAACAAACAATAGAAAACTAGACCAAATCTATGAAAGAAGGGTTTTCAGACATTGGACAATAGGTACACTGGGAAAAAGGAAAACAAATAAGATGAACCCAAAGTTTCCCCATATTTCTTTCTAGATGTATTTACCTAAGCACAGGATAGGAAAAAACCAAACAGGTTATATTACTCTTGCTAAATGAGGAAAGAGAAATTGGAATTAGGAGACATTGAGACAAATGAAATTTGCAGGGCAGAATACCAGAGAAAGAGCTCCAGAAATATGCATAAGGGTCTCCATGAAACTTTGGTGTAAGTTTAAGGATAAACTTCTTAACCTAGTTAAATTACAGCTACTGGGGGAACTGTAAGCTGAACAACTACTAAAGCTTGAATAAAGTTCGGAAACATTCAAATCCTGACCAACTGGAATGAAGACACCTTATAAACACCTGGGGCGTTTGGTAGGGAGACCTCAAAAAGGCCACACTTTAAAAATAAGGCTAAACTAACCCAAGAGTAAAGCCTATTCTATCCACTGAGAAAAGCTTATTTGTAAGTAATTAATTGCTTGCTTGAATGAAACTTAACAATCTTTAAATAAAGATGATATCCAGGCACCAAACCAGGAATACCCACAATGTCCATTATCCAATTTAAAAAAAAAAAGTTACTGTATATGTGAAGAAGTAGGAAAATGTGAACCATGAACAGGAGAGAAATCAGTCAGTAGAAGCAGACCCAGAAATGGCAAAGATGATGAAATTAACAGATAGGAACTTTATTTTTTAAAATATTTATTTATTTTACCAAGAGAGAGACAGAGAACATGGCAGGGAGGAACAGAGAGAGAAAGAGAGAGAGAACCTCAAGGTGATTCCACAGAGAACAGAGCCCCACATGAAGCTTCATGCAGGGCTCAACATGGGGCTCAACCCATGACCCAGAGATCACAACCTGAGCAGAAGTCAAGAGTCAGACATTCAGTCAACTGAGGCACCAGGGACCCCAGAAGATAGTAACTTTAAAGCAGTTATAATAAATTTAAAGAAAAACATAAATGTAATTAAAGAAAATTTTAAAAGAAACTGTAAAAAGAATCAGATAAAACTTCTAAAGTAGTAAAATATAATATCCCAAATGAAAATTTCATTGGATGGGTTTAAATGCACCTTAGATATTGCAGAAGAAAAGATCTGTGAATGAAGAAACCGTACCAAAAAATGAACTATGGGAAACCTGGGTGGTTCAGTTGTTAAGCATCTAACTTCAGTTCAGGTCATGAACTCGGGCTCTTGGAATTAAACCCTGCTTAGGGCTACCCACTGAGTAGGGAGTCTGCTTGTCCCTCTGCCTCTGCTCTTCCCCTGCTCCTGTGCACGCTCTCTCTCAAATAAATAAATAAAATCTTGAAAAAGAAGAAGAAGAACAACAAACTACACAAAAGTGCAGGAAGAAGTAAAGTTAAAAATAAAATGAACAGAGCCTTGGTAATCGGTCTGACAATATCTAACACATGCATGTAACCAAAAGATCCAGGAAGACAGGAGAGGAGATTTTAAAAAATATATGAAGAAATAATAGCCCAAAGGTTTCTAAGTTTAATAAAAAGTATAAACAGATAGGTCAAAGAAAGAAAACCAACCCAAAAAAAGGATAAACACGAAGAAATCCTTACTGAGGCATACCCCACTCAAACTGTGAAAAATATTAGAAATGGTCAGAGAAAAAGCCACATAATATTCAGTGAACAAAGATATGTATTACTACTGACTTAATATCAGAAAGAATGTAAGCCAGAATATGATAGAATACAATCTTTAAAGTCCTAAAAGAAAAAGCTCTGGAACTTTATACCCAGCAAAAATTCTTCCAAAAAATGAAGGTGAAATAAAAGCATTTTCAGACAAACAAAAGATGAGAGAATTTGTTACTAGCATATCTGTATTATAATAAATTCTAAGGAAAGTTCTTCAGATTAAACAAAAATGATTCTAGGTGGAAATATGAATTCACACAAAAGAAACAAAAACTTTCAGAAATGGCAAATATGTAAGACATTTTTTTTACAATTTTCTCTAAAATATAAATAACCATTTACATCAAAAACAGTAACAATATTTTGTGAGGTTTAAAGAAAATGAAGAAGTAAAATATACATTAAGAATATAAGGAAAGGGTGATAAACTTATAACTAGAGATAAACTGCTATAAGATTCATATACCAAGCTTGAAGTGGTATAATTTGAAGATAGAATGTGATAAGTTAAAGATATGTATGGTAAGACAAATGACTAAAAGTGGGGAAAAAGGCATTTAAAATCTAATTAGCCAATAGAAGAATTAAAATCAGAACACTATAAAATACTCAGTCCAAAAAGAAAAAAGGAACAAAGAACAGAGAGACAAATTAAAACCAAATATCCTGCATGACAGATGTACACAAAACATACTATTGATAATTACATTAAATGCAAATTGTCTAAATTCTGCTTTAAAAGGTAAATTGTCTTACTGGATTTGAAAAATTTCTCAAGACCCAACTATAGGCTATCTATAAGAAGTTCACTTTAAATAAATGACATTGGTAAGCTAAAAGTGAAAAGATGAAAAAAGAAAAACCCAATCACTAACCCAGAAAAAGGGGAAGTAGTTGTATTCATATCAGACAAAGTGAACTTCAGAACAGGGAATATTATCAAGGCTAAAGAAGGATATTTCGTAATGACAAAAAAGCTATTTCATCAAAACAGGCATATCTTCTTCTTCTTCTTCTTCTTCTTCTTCTTCTTCTTCTTCTTCTTCTTCTTCTTCTTCTTCCTTCTTCTCCTTCTCCTTCTCCTTCTTCTTCTTCTTCTTCTTTTTTGACAGAGAGAAAGATCACAAGTAGGCAGAGAGGCAGGCAGAGAGAGAAGGAGAAACAGGCTCCTGCTGAGCAGAGAGCCCAATGCAGGGCTCCCTCTGAGGACCCTGAGATCATGACCTGAGCCCAGGGCAAAGGCTTAACCCACTGAGCCACCCAGACGTCCCTGAAAACAGGCATATATTCTAACA